CGCAAAAAAAAGGTACGCCCGTGATACTAAACAATCATTTAATTTCTTGTTGACACTTTTACCAGGGCAAGTCTGACTAAATGATAATTCTCATTGCAATTCAATACAATGAAACAAAAATGAAATAAAAAGAATTTTAAAACTTACACACAAGCAATTTAAACAAATATGCATAACATGGGTCATGAATACACTAAGGAACACACATTGGCAATGGTGCAGTCTTTTTTCAAATTATTGATCCGTAAATGATCTGTGAACAAGTCTCAAAATTTACCACAGCATCGCCGAAATAAGTTCACATCGGAACGGCACTACTTTAAAATTTCTTCTCAAAAGTCGAAGGGGTCTGAGACGCGAGAGTGGTACCAATCATAGAAAGATTCTTCTTGTTCGGTGCGCATGCTGTCGGGGTCGTAATAGTGAGCATCGGGCAAATGGGGCAGAACGGCGTCTTTGAGTGGTATTGAAAAAAGCGAAGAATAGTCTTTAGACATTAAACTTATTCCAAATGTTTTAGACATTTGAAACTTTTGCCTCGAAACAAAAGAGGTCCGAGAACTTCTTGAAGGTGTATTTTCAAGGTTTAGCGTGGAGTAAAGATGTTTTGCAATTTTTTCATTTTAGATATGCTACATGGTGTGTCTGTGGATAGGCCAGCATGCTGTAACAGGAGTTTTGCTTCTCTTGGTTTATTTGACTCAGTGCAATCGTTGAATAGTTTTCTAGGCTCTTTTGCATACTGCTAAGTCATTCTTGTCAGCATACGTTCGTCCCACCATGATGGCTTGGACTAAACACATCTGGTTTTGAGGGTTCTTAATTCGGACAAGAAAGTTTTGGTGCTACGAAGATAGTCCACCAGTAACACTTTTTTGCCTCAGGCACCTTTGGGAAGAGAAACGTGGTCATGTACATTGTCGCTTTTCAATCAGTGATGTAAAACTTGCCGTTGGACTGCTGCACGTGTTTGATGTTATTTTATGACTTTGGATGGTGTCAATTCTGGTGGCCTGCTAAACTTGTTCCAAACAGGTTACTTCAGGATGTCTTTATTAATGCGAGGCCACCTTTTTTCACGAAATGATCCGATCGTTTCATCTTGATTGAAAATGTCAAATGACTACATAAATACCACATAGTTTCTATATATCAATGTAAAGCCAGTTTCTTCCAGATATAAACGGTCAGTATCTTCCTCTGTGCAATCATTTCACTCTGAATCCTACTAGAAAAATGGAAGAGCCAGTAGAGATCAAACTTCGGATCAGATCTTTGCGAGGTGTCATACGAAGGATTTTATCAGAGAAACGGACGGATTCTTACCCATATTTTGAATATTAAATTCAAGATACTTGATATATTTGTCAGAAGAAAGGACATCGGTCTTTTGAATATTTACAAAGTCAGAGCAAGACAAGCGTCAATAAAAGACAAAAGACAAGATATATGTTATCGTTGTCAAGAGAAGGAACACTGGTCCTCAGACCTCCTTAAACAATAACAGGATAAGAAGGAGGAGATGGATTCCGAACAGGAAGAAGAGGAACCTTCCGGAAAGTAAGAACCCATACACGTTCAGGAAAGAGAAATGAAAAGAAGACCAAAAGAAATTGAGGGCGAAGTGGAAAAACCTGTGACAGTAAAGAAATTCAAAAAAGGAGATAGTAAAAAGACAAAGAAGTAATTGAAATTTAAGTGATGTGTTGTAAAATTTAATTGTAAATTTATATTAGAGAATATACCAGAAAGACAAAGCGTCTCTTGGTTTTGAATTTTATAATAAGGACCTACACTCACGTACTCACACACGTACATCATAGGGAAAAAGATTTTGAGATTTAATTGAGTTTGGTAAACATTGAGTAGTCTCTTTTCTATAGAAGTGAGTGGCCCTGAAAAGGAATGTTGGGTGTTTGTTTTCTTTTGGGTTTTTTTCATGGTAAAATAAACAAACCCCAGGATCGGTTAAGGCCTACTTCCAGACCTACTAATGTCGATGATTTGATAGAAATCACTGGTGTTGGTATCTCAGGCGATGTAGCTGTGTTGACTGGGTTGGACCGTTTGGTTCGGGAAGGTCTTTTTCTCTTGGGTGGTATTAAAAAAGTCTGATAAATTTGTTTGAGACTCTTTATCTCTGCCAAAAATGTCTACGAGTACCGTCACCGCTTAACTTTCACTGTCTTCCTTCTCTACTAAACCTTGTTTCTTTTCTGTTTTATATTCTTGTCATTTTATTCTTGCCTTTTCTTCTTGCTGTTGATGTCAATTGGAAAAAGCTTGTTCTGCTTCTTTCTGCTATTGCAAAATTTTCACAAATTCTTCTTTCTGTCGCTGTTTAAAATCTTCGACGTACGTTAATGAAGGAGAAGGTGGCGATTGTACTGGCAAGGAAAAAATTCTCACGAAGAAGAGAAAAAATCCACTAACATCTTAAATAAAAACCATTCTCTTTTGGAAGAAGGACTGTGTTTGCTTTGGTAGCCACTGCTATGCCATCACTCCTCATCTCTACGGCATATGCACCCCAATTCATTGTCTTCGTAGTTTCCTTCATGTTCTCACTCGAACTGGAAGAGAGACTCCGCGCTGTGACTGAATTTTGTAACGTGTTATGATTGTTGAAAGAACTCCATCCGTTTCGATCCACTCTTCCACTATAAATAATCGCGGTTCACCTAATGCCCGTCACCTGTTCTTGTCAAAAGATGTTGACTAACGTAGAATGGTCTATCCTCTAATCGTCGATGCTCTTTAACCCTGACTATCCCATGTATGTCAAATCATCATGGGCTATCATCAATATGACTGATGTAGCCGTTTGGAAACAAAGGATCTATGAGGGGAGACAAGGATGTCTGAAGCGATTATTAATCTACGATCCAGAGGTGAGACTAAGTTTGAGGGAGAGAAGAAGATACGTGCGATGCCTTCTATGATAAATGAATGATGTCAGCAACAAAACAATACAAAGGTCACTTTATTGCCTCTTAAAATACATATTCTCTCTTGCCTAAAACGTTTAGTGTGATAGATTTATGTTTATAAATCTATGATTGTGTCAAATGTATATGTCTCTATGTCTATAACCCTGTCTCATGTATATATGTATGTATGCATGCATGCATGCATGCATGCATGCATGTATGTATGTATGTATGTATGTATGTATGTATGTATGTATGTATGTATGTATGTATGTATGTATGTATGTATGTATGTATGTATGTATGTATGTATGTATGTATGTATGTATGTATGTATGTATGTATGTATGTATGTATGTATGTATGTATGTATGTATGTATGTATGTATGTATGTATGTATGTATGCATGTATGTGTCTTTGTGTATGACATTGTCTCTATTGTCACTAGAGTAGTGCGTATTTTGGTCAGGCCCTTGCCACACTGTTTCGTCCATCAGCCACTTGCAACATTGTTGCCAGTGTCCAGTACCGTGAATCACCCCTGTTCAATTACCGTTGCCGCTATACATTCCCAATGTTAAATTCCCTGTGTCAAATTTCCAATGTAGCAAGAGTTTACACGACCAAATTTTTAACATAGAAGTCCCATTGTCATTATGGTGTCCCCACTCACTATTAAGACTCGTTTATGTCAATGTGTTTCTAAAGTCTGTCACACGTTTAGATTATATATATATATATATATATATATATATATATATATATATATATATATATATATATGTATATATATATGTATATATGTATGTATGTATATGTATGTATGTATGTATGTATGTATATATATATATATATATATATATATATATTTATATATATATATATATATGTATGTATGTATATATAGATATATATATATATATATATATATATATATATATATGTATGTATATATAGATATATATATATATATATATATATATATATATCTATATATACATACATACATACATACATATACATACATACATATACATATATATATATATATATATATATATATATATATATATATATATATATTAAAGAGAGAGACAGACAGATAGACATTGAGAGAGAGAGTTTTGTTTGTTTTTCTTTAGCACTTTATGAGACAGTAACACAAGTTGGATATGTAATGGCAAGACAGTTACAGTAAAGTGCCTTCCCCATGAACAGACCATAATAGTTAAGTCATTCTGGTCCCATGGTAATTTTTAAATCTTCACCGTCACTGAACTACCGCGGCTTCTACATATCATGTACGAAAGCATGGGATAAATAACATTTCAAAGTACACCATTAAAAAAGCCTTAGACTGGCAGTTGCAATCTAATGTTAACAATTTTGAAATATGTTCTCGTCATTAAACTGTCTTCGTCATTATATATCCAATTATGTGGCAATGTTTACGGTTCATTTTATTCTATGATAGTCCGCATGAAGTTTGGAAATCTAATACATCTGCTAGGAGAGCAGTCATAAATTAATGATACATATGGATATTTGATTTCCATCCTATTGCATGGTGCACAATAACTTTGGATCGAGGAATTAAGCATTCTTGACTGATATAACAAATGAAACAAGTAATTCGTCCATGGATATATGAAGACAATTTATCAAAATGCATCTTTCTAAAGAAGTTACTTATCAAAGATTAAATAAAAATGCTTTGTGACTTGAATATAAATAACTAGATTAAAGGATAAATGACTAAGAGATTTGTTTAGTATGGATTATTTTGTCTATTTGTTTTTATTTGCTTTCCTACAAACATTTTGCATTAAATAGCACACATTGCTGTAGTGTGTTACATATAAACTGAAGCATACATATTAAGTAGCACACATGGCTGTAGAGTGTTTGTTTTAAATGCTATGTTTATTCTATTTAATTTAATAGCTGTTGTACATGTAACTACCTATAAGAGAAATATGAAATAAACCCAGTTTTGAGATTATTGAGGAATAAAAGGATTCAGACATAATACTTATGATATAATTCAGAATCAAAATCTAACTTCTCCGATGGCCTAGTGGTTAGAGCGTCCGCCTCGGATGCGGGAGATCGTGGTTTTGAAGCCCGGCCTAATCATGCCAACTACTTACACAAATTGTACTAACAGCTGCCTCACTTGGCGCTGTACTAACAGGTGCCTCGCTTGGCGCTCGGCATTAAGAGTTTAGTGTTAGGACTAGTCGGCTTGGTACAAGGATAATGTGACTGGGTAGGGCATCATGCTACATGTCTGCGGCATGATGCTCTAATGCTAGACATGACTATAAACAGCCACACTGCAGATCGATATGGCTGAAAACATTTTAAAGCTACGTTAAAACTCCAAATCACACACACACACATACTCAGACAGAGAATCAAAATATTGCTACAAAAGCTATGTTCATTTTGTATTTTCTTATCTTTATTCTCTGTATGGACGGCATCATGATTACAGTAAAAGGTACTGATCAATGTTTAAGCTTAAATTCTGCGGCAATAGAACAATATTAATAAAAATCACAAAAGGCAAGAGAATATAAACAAATGTGAATATAGATAAAGGAGCATTAAGAGTCTGTCTGTCTTTCTGCCTGATTAATGATCAACTTGCCTTTATCTGATATAAATCAATTAAAAAATTTATAAATTAATTTTTACAGTGGTCTTTACCAAAATAGTATGAACTGAAAAAAATGAGTCGATTGAGCTAAACAGATCGGAATGGGAGCCCTGAGTATAAACAATAAACAGAACAAAACAACGCAAAAAAACCCCGAACAAAACCTACTAAACAAACAAAACAACTGTGAATTGTTTTGGTATTCACCAACCTTTCTCTCATTTTCTCTTTAATTTTTAAAAAGAACTTTTAATAGACACCTTGAAGAAGAAGAATGACTTTAAGTCACATGTTTTGAAACTCGTTATGTCATGCATTCATCTTAGCTTATCTGGAAGTCGAAAACTTTGTGATGAAATCGATTACCTGTAGAACAGAAAGTCTGGGGCTTAAATCGATTACGTGTAGAACACTAAGAAACAAAATGAAAATCATCTCCTAGCTTAGAAAGTAAAACGATTTATGTCGTCCAAATGATGAGAATGGATGATTTGATTTCCTTGAAACGTCTGTCTATAAATGGGTCCATTAATTTATGATTCAATCTATCTGCACTAACTGATTGTAGCTTATATTTAAACCTTAATCCGTTACATTGTGCCTCTAATCTCTCTCTCACTCTGACTTCTGTATCTAATTGTCAGGAACAAGCTAGAACGTTCGCCAACAAATCACGCACGTTTACATTTTTGCAAGATCGATATGTGTTAAAAGCATTGTTTAATTTAGTGTTATTGTGCCCGTAGAATAATGTAGCCCTAACATAATCCGTAAAGATGAACGAGGCCGGTTTGAAGCCGTTCACAGATTTAAGATATAATTATGAATAGTTTATTATTGATATGTTTTCGTTCCATTACTAGTATAATAGCTCAAATAGACACTGATCCATTTGTATCATTTATTAATTTGGATACGTTTTGTACGGTACCTTCTAATAAATATATTGACTCCTTGCCTTCACAAAGTAAAGACAAATGGACAAGGCACAAATGAGGAACAGCATACAAACACTTCGAAATTCTGAAACAAACATTATTTAAATGTGTTTCAGACAGGCAGATGTGGACGCTTCGTGCTCTCTTGGCACACAGAACACGTGACGAATGGCTTTCTTTTAGTTACATACTATTATTAATGTTTCTCAACGTTTCCATCGATGTAAAGTCTCTAGTGGCATATTCGTGTCACAGATTATTTTAAAAATTGTGGAAGATTTATTATTACATGTGCATTTACACTGAAAGAAAAAACACAAAGATTTCTCACCCACGGGACGGGAAAATATAGTTGATATGATAACCTTACTTTTCTCATTTTGGTCTGACTGTTTCGGCCTGGTTGAATCAGCCATTGTGGCCATATGCATCATTGTCGTCTGTTCTACCTGACACCAATACTATAACCAATTTTGGGGAAATGAGTGGAAAACAATGTTCCAGACTCACCGGCTACATATATCAAAGGCCACAAAATCAATAACAAGTTGAACACCCACAGCAAACTTAGTAACAACCGGAAATGTGTTATATCAGCTCTGCTTTTCTCTAACTTTGCCATATTTGCTCAATTTGAATACAACATAAACATGCATTGAGAAATTAAATATGAAAGCGGATCACTTATTGGTCCATACGTTATTCATCAAGCAGATTTCTGGCTCCGCGCTATAGTTTTTTTTTATCGTTCTTTTGTTCATTATAGGCTGATAAGGAAAACGTCATTAAATGAATGCCAAGGTTAACGAGTCAAAGGTAATTATATACCTACACCTTGGGTCAGCCTTAATCTGCTCAAACAATGAGCATGCGCTGAGTTACCTACCAAGTATAACAATTCGACTAGGTACTCAATGGGTAATACATTTAAGCATCTTTCACTGTAATCAATGAAGATGACATTCTACCTACTTCAGGTTAGAATACATGTATGCGACAATCCGCTCAGTTGTCACACTTGCTAAATAGGATAATCTATTCTGAATATATATTTAGCAGAATAGTGGCAGACTCTGTCAGTCCCTTACATAACACTAAGACAAGCATCCAGTACTTGCTGACCATAATGTGTGCCTCGAAAAGATTACCGAAAGCAATTCCTTTGAGAAATAGTAAAACTAAAACCATAGTGAAATGGGTTTTTTTTGTGCACATCTTGGCTTTCCCAAATTTGTCCCATCTGATCATGGTCAATTATTTTATTTGTATGTTTCAAGCAATTTATGCATGAATTAGGCGTCCAGAAATATGAATCTTCTGCCTGTCGCCAATTTGAAAAAAAATGCATTCGAGACTTTGGGAATATCATCCCCTTCAGCGTTGTATCTTATTTTCATACCACTGGAATATGTTAGAACTTCATTTAGACCGGGATAAAATATTTTGGACTGCCTTGGTTTTAATTCTTATTGCTGTATTATCTTTTAAAAAAAATACTTTGTAAAATAGGGAAATAAATTATTTCTTGAATTTTACAAAACTTATCTCTTTTCTCTATTACTGAAGATTATGACCATATACTTGCAATAATCTCGAATCACCTTTTGGGAGAAATGTTTGCATTTTTTCAGATTACATTAAATAGTTTCAAAAATACATAATTTTTATTATAATGAAAACAAAACATTCTGGGGAAATTATAAGTTGTTCATCTGGCCTTAATATTTTACCTGTTTATAATAGTTCGGAACGTAGATGGGAAATATATTTGTTCATTGTACTAATTCTCGTAAAAATATAAAATGTAAGTGTTAAATCCCAATAAGAAATTTCGCATCCTGACTTTGCCGTCCTTACGTCCCTATTATGCTAGAATTTCATATCGCACTTTATATTTTGCATCAATTTTATTCAACTGCAAATGCGTATTTTAAAATATGTTTAACTGTCTGTATGTAGCATATTTTCATATTAAATTCATTCGCTATATAAACTTGTTAAACTCTAGTTAGCAACTTTAATGTGTTAACCGAGCTGATAGTTATGTAGAAGATATTCTGCTTGTTTAATTTTAAAATCTAACTTATTGTATTTATTTATTTACAGTTTTGCATGTTAAAAGGTTATGATCTAAATTATTGTATTTATTTATGTACAGTTTTGCATGTTATAATGTTTTGAAAATGTTATAAAGTTGACTAAAATATAATGATGTGTCGACATTCATAGTTAAATACACCTATATTGTTCGTGCATATAGGTCATGTCATTCACAGTACTCATGGATTAATGGTGCCCAAAATGAAAATGCCTTAATTGTGACACATGGATAATGCTAATATTAATGATTGTACAAAGGTGCTTGTCAATAGGGTAATATATTGATTTCTCAAAAATTATAAAAATATTTTTGGGGCTGAGCCAGGATGGATATGATCTGCAGGAAAGGTTATCCCAGTCAGGTAGATTGATTTTGACGAATTTTGTTTGTCTTGTAGTGATGTAGGGTATGTATTAGTTTTCCGAAAAATAAAAATAAGATTCTCTGTGTATATATTATTTGAGTTAGAGGAGCCAGGTCCTAGACGAATTATGTCAACATTATTAGATTTGTGTGAAATAAACGAAATAAACCTATTGGACACGCAATCCGGTCGAAAGTGATTTAAGAATGCTATTCATTGTCCAAGGTGGATTTCAATTGTATTTATTCTTAATAAATCAAATGGAACTAGCAGTTAAATCCCATGGTTCTAGACGATTTATTTAGCACTAAAATGAAGTGTTAAAAAATAAATACATTTTGTACCAAATGATCAGACTCATATATCTCTTTCAGGGCAAATGCTAAGATCGATTGTTTCTGCCTGAAAAAAGATTCATAATCTAACAGGAAAAGCTATAATTTAATCACGAGAAAGAACTCGGTAGTTTTACTTCATTTAAAGGAGTGCAATAACACCAAAGCTATATGTTCTTGATGTTAATATACGAAACTACCCCACCCACCTCCAATTATTTTTTTTTAGGGATGTGATCTTTAATTTGTAAACAAAGCTACCATTTTTCATTAAAGAACTCTATATGAATTGTTTTTCAAAAATGGAAAAAAAAATTTCAAATAGCTGCCCTCTGGCGCAACTGTTTGCGCATAATATTACTCAATTTAGAAGAGAGCCGCGTATGAAATGAGTATTGCTAGTACTTACCTCATTTGTTCTATAGATATGTTATGTTTAGTAAGCTGGACACTTCAAGCAGTCTTAGTGGTTAAATGCATATTCTCTGGATACAACCATGCATTTGCATGTCACGCTTTACTTCGCAGACGAATAAGTAGTTAACAACATCCATAATTTACCATACGTCTACCTATATTCTTTGTATAAACAACCTTATTATTATTATTATTAGTATTAGTATTATTATTATCATTATTATTATTATTATTATTATTATTATTATTATTATTATTATTATTATTATTATTATTATTATTATTATTATTATGATCATCATCATCATCATCATCATCA